AAAACTTCAAACATACTGCAGTAGTTATTAACAATGTTACAAAACCATTTTTAGTTGCTATTCTGGCAGTAAATTCAAAAATTTGTCACTAAATTACCTTAAAAAAGACAAAAGTAATGTAGTATACCAATCGTTTACAAATAATTTTAATATTCTATACGATAATTCCATAGAAAAATTATCTGTGCACTCCAATTAAAATAGCACATTTCCTGAGTTGATTATACGATTGAACTGAAATTCTCTAGAATTTCATTTCATTATTCCTGTTTTAACATAATTCCTTCAAGAAACCACGTTTCACAATGAAATTTCTGATTTCACATCGGCTCCTAAAAATATTGTCAAAACATCTAACGCTCAATCTAAAACAGGCCGCGTATCTATGATATCGGAAAAGAATTCCAGTTGACTGTTTCCATTAACCGATCGCCAGCTGTCGGCGAGTTCGCGTTCGCGTAACTCCTTTCCAGACAGCTCGTTTATTCACCTGCGATACCTGTTATATCATCGATGAGAGCAAAGTTAAAGTAAAAATAGCTGGATGATAATAGTATCTAATTTGATCGCGGGGTAAGATAAAAAAAGAAATGCGCGGCTGTAAAGGTTGCCGCTGCGGGTAGCTTACGGTTACTTTGATCTCCGAAGGACGTTCATCGGAGAAAGTTCCCGGGCTTCCGTTTTCCCGGGGTAATGCGTCGCTGCGGCACGCCACGCCGCGTCGAATCTACGATGAAAGCATCCGCAGGAGAGTTATCAGGTCGTAAGTTCAAAGAACCGTGCACAAGAGCATCGTGCACATCGACGTACTCGCGACATGATATTGCGCCCGCTCGCGAGGACGTGGCCGTGCATAACAAGTCATTGTACGCCACAGGGAGAAATTACCATTTGCTCCCGCCTCGATTACTCTGCAAGATAAAACTGTACACGTTCGATTTTATACGGCGTCATATTATTCGGAAGCCAATCGATAGTCCCTTTAACACTACAACTGCCGAACAGTCAAATTGTCTTTCAACCTTCTGGAGATATATGAGTATATTCATTGGTTCATATGTTAGTTCTTATATTACCAAATCAGGTTATTTAGTCATTTCTCTGAGAAACGCTTGTACTCAATGATTGTGAAAGAAGAAGTCAGGATGTCACGTTGACCTGTCTGGTAGTTTTAGTGTTAGCACTAGAACTACCCGTTAAAATCACAGATTCTACTTTTCCTACTTCGCAATTATTGATATTTCCAAACTATTCAATCGTATGTATCATGTTCTTCTGCCGGTTTATCAGAAGAACCTAACTGAACCAGCTCGAACGCTTCAGCTAGCAGTCACTCGAATTTAGGTGGCACCATGTTATAAACTGAAACATTAATATTCTTGGTGACGTATCGATCAAACCAAACTTTGTTGGATGAATGAGATACAAGAAACATGATAGAGCAATCATTATGAAGAGTCTCAACGTTTTAGTCTCTGCTTTATTAAGAATACTGTTTCGACTGCGTCGGACTTTATGAGTGTTTACTTAACAGTCCGCGTATTAAGTCCCTAGCTGATTCAAGTGCGTGTTACAAATTGTAAATCTCAGGTTGGTACAATCAAGCTACCAGCTGACGAATTGTGGAGAACGGTGGAAGGGCAGACTCCGACACTTAGAGAAGCAACTGAGGCTTTCGAGCCAATTCACTGTTCAAGTTGCTCGGAATTGCCGGGGCTCGAGCAAGCTCTAGCGAGCTCACGTTTCGAGTTTCGTGTTTCAAGCAGCTATTCACCGGTGAGTTCGGACCTAAAATGCTCGAAGGCCCATCGCTACCGATGACTAGCGCCGAGTTAGCCGAGTGTCGAGTCTAACCGCGAAAGGCACGCAGAAGGCATCTCGGGCAGCACCTCGTGACATTTCGAGTGGCTCGAGGATGCTCCGGGACGCGGCTAGCTCGTTCTTACGTCGCTCTTCTTCCAATTGCGGCTCGCCGATTTATCGAGGCGGGAGATGGTTATTTGCAGACTCGTTCCTAACCGTTCGTCGGACTACCCTATCTTGGCTAATGAAAAATCAATAGGCACCGGTACAGTTTCGCGAGACGAAGCTGTGTCGCGTACCCTTCCTGCTGGCTGTCGCTGAACCGCTGAATCGTGTTTGATTTGTCACGTATCGACCGCCTTGTACTTTTCAGTCGCGTTAACCCCTTGGCTTAGGATTCCCTTCGCGATTAAGTTCGATAGGACTACTGTAACGTTGACGATTTAGTAGGCAAAGAAAAGAATTTGATTACTCTGTGTTCACGTTTAAAGGTGTCCAAAGGTTGAAGATTGATAACAGATAAGTTGTTTCATTCATATGGAAAATAAATGACTAACGTTTAAATTTGTCGAATTAAATTGAAAATTTGAGTCTAACATGATATTATAGGAGAAGGGGTTAAGGGATGATCGATGGAAGGTTGGCAATGAAACTGACATACCCTCGATATCTTTCGAATGAATAAGTATTCACGGAAAATTTGAAAATCAATGAAGAAAACTCGTACATCTATTCGAAAAATTGGCTTCTCTCCGCGTTTGAACCACTGTGCAACGGTACGAGTAATTGGTCTGGAGAGAATCGAGTCTGGTTTATCGAAGAAACGTAATTAACGAACTTGAAGTATCGTAATTAAATTGATACGGTGGTAATTTATATGTCTTCTCCGCGAATGATAGCTGACAGCTGGCAATTAACAATGCGTATTCATCATCGTAAAATGAAGATTGTTCCCGTTACGCTGTTAGGAAGATCCGGCAGGATCCTAGACCCTGCCAGATATTTCCTCTAATATCTGTGATTCACCTGAATACCAGTAATACACGGAATCGACATAGCCGTTCCGGCACAGCCTCTTTGCGGTTTTCTTCTCGTGCATCGCGTGACGCTTTTTTCTAATTTCGACACGACGCACCAGATTTACCCTGGAATTTTCCCTGCAGCCACGTTTATTTCCATCGAACGTGTTGTGTGTTGTGTACTGTATGCGAACTGGTGGGGACTGAACATGTACAGGATGGAAAGAAATGTTTTGTCATGATTGTCGCACATACATGTGAATTCTACACCTTCCGTTTTATAGAGATTGAGGTGTGTACCGCAGAATTCTGTTGAAGAAAGGATTCAAATTTTACATTGCTTTATCGTATTCTATTGATAGCGGAGGCAAATAATTATAAAAGTGAAAGTAAACGATTGAAAATCACTACAAATTGTTCTTCCGAGCTAGAAATGAAATATTAACATGAAGTAAGTGAAGGAAGAAAACACTTCAACGAATCCTCGCTCTACTTCGTTTCCTAATCTCTTATCTTTTATCGATCTATCAATACTTGTAGAACACCAGCTTGGATAGAGTACACGTTCAACACAGCCGATGCTTTTCAACTTGAAATAATCTATCCGTAAGATACGATTTTAGGAAAGCATGAAAGGGCGATGACAATAGATTTCTAATTTTAAATAGCAGACCAACGTGCCAATCGTGTCAATCCTTATCAAACGCCTGGGAGATGTCCAAAAACGCTGCTGAACAATATTTTTTAGCTTTCAGGTCTTTCCTGATTTTATTGGCTACTCTATAAATTTGTGCTCTGTGGTTGTGTGATATTCTTGGAAGCCAAGTTGATGCTCCTGAGTCAGGTGTTGTTCTGTTGTTTATATTTAGAGCCTATTAATTAGAAGATTTTCGAGGAATTTGGGGGTTATTGATGTTACTTCTTGATACTTTATGTTTGATGTTTTGTGTTATTGTGTAACTTAATTTTGTTTCATTGGGGAGGCAAAAATATATGAATTGGCGCATCTTACAAGCGAATTTTCGAACACATGACGAGATACATTGTATTATTACTTTCGATATCTGATAAAATATTCGAACTATGACCGGCAGCCGTATATACACTCTACATTCGATTCAATTTCCATCACAGAAGTAGTATACTATCATTTTTTATTCACAATATATCATTACTGATTATGCATTGAATAACAGTCTTTTGTTGTTAGGTAATACACATAATTGTGTATGAAAATCAGATCGGAAGGGGTTAAAGACAAGCATCGAATGGTAATCCGCTACAACTGAACGTCAAAATGTCAGAAACTTTAATCATTCTCGCGACCCTTGAGTTTTTGAATTTTCGACTTACCGTTTCCGAATTCTGGAACGTTCCTGCTAGGGCTAAATTTTTCCGCACCCCCACTACCATGAACCACGTATAAATAGCTCGGAAATTTTTCGGCGAAGAGCAGTTGCGAACGAAAATTTCCACCCACACTGCGGCGTCACTCTGTTGGTCATCGCACCAAATTACTGGAATTCCGGTGTCACGAATCACATCGCAAGCGCATCAATTGCATATCGCAATTTGCGTAAATAAAGTGTTCTACTCGGGGGTTGAAAACAGTTATGATATCGGTTTAAGCTCTTGAAACAGTTACACATGAAGAATCGAAATAACGCCATGACTGTTATTAGGTATATCTCGGTTTTGAACTATATGGGTTTCGATATCGATTTAATATAATATGAATAACATTATTTAATTTCATTCGAACTGCATTTACAATTGTTGTAAATTAATTAATTAAATTTAACTATATTTTTAAGATTATTTTACTTTAAATAAGTTATACCAATATACCGAATAACAGTTATGACTTTATTTCGATTCTCCATAACTATTTCAGTCGCAACCGATATATAGCAGTTTCAAACAGTTATTTTCAGGACCTTTACAATCCCTAATCTCACGAAAAATCGTCGACAAAGCTGAATAACAGGCGCGAAAATTTGCAATCAATTGTTCTGACGCTTCGCAAGACACGAAACGAATATTTAGTTCATTATGCTTTATTGATTAAAATTAATTACCTCTACCTCGCTACAATAACCATTTTATTATAGACAATATCATCTTTATGAGCATATAGCGAACGTCTGTTTGAAAAGGATCTATTCGTATGTTTCACAGAATCGAAAGTATGGATCAGCAAACCAGTCGAAAACAGGCGGTGAATTCACCGGAAGTGGCCTTGGCGAACGAGGTGTTCAATCTGTTCTGCAATGCAACCACCCTAAAAACTATCCTCGGTCACTTTAGACACCTGTGCGACCTGCTCAAGATCAGGCCGAACACGATCTCTCAGTTCTATCCGAAATTGAAAGGGAAGCTACGATCTTGGAAGGCGCAAGCTCTATGGAAGAAATTCGATCAACGGGCCAATCATAAATGTTACAATCGCGGCAAAGCCTGCTCCAACACAAGGGTGAGTGTAAAGTGTCCTCACGTGAAACAGTAATATATTACATTGGAAATTTTCACGGCGGAAATCTTTAACCTTTTGCAGTTTGCCTTTTAGTCACCATTTGATTTGACCTAAGGAAATGGCAAAACTGAAAATTCAATATTAAATTTTATATAATGTATCAGCACATAGAACTTCGAAATAAAATTGTTCTATCGTTTAATTTATGCAAGGTATTTCTTTATGTTAGTGTAGATAGTACCTCTGATATTTCATCAGGAAATAATGAATATATATTGAGAAAAATACTGTGGAGTACAAGGGGTTAAGATTGTGAACTTGAAATTAGAATCCTACATTTAACAGAGTTCGCTTAATTATTATTAGAAATTAGTGGACTCAAACAGCAAAACGAGAATAAAATCGATGAAAGGAAAAAAATGTAATCGAATGAAATGTTTTTTTAGGTGTTGATAATAGGAGGTGGTCCTTGTGGACTTCGTTCGGCTATAGAGGCGCAGCTTCTAGGGGCGAAAGTAGTTGTTGTGGAGAAAAGAGATCGGATGTCCAGGAACAATGTCCTTCATCTTTGGCCGTTCGTTATTCAAGATCTTCGTAGTCTAGGGGCGAAGAAATTCTTTGGAAAATTTTGCGCCGGATCCATCGATCACATCAGCATCCGACAACTTCAATGTATTTTGCTCAAAGTTGCTTTAATCTTAGGCGTTGAGTTTCACGAGAGCGTGAGCTTCGATTCGTTGATACCACCGCCAGAGAACCAAGAAGAAAGCAGTGAGTAATTCACGTATTCGGTACTATCAGAAGTTTGTCGGAAATTATAATATCATGCAGTTTATTGTAAAATTAAGTGACGTTTTGGCTTGACATTCTTTCTTGTCCCTTTTAATTTTTCGCGAGATATATGAATATTAACGTGAATAACTATATAAAAATAAAAATATTTTTTAATGTTCTGTCACTTCAAGATTGTTCCTCTTATAAGACATGATTACTGACAAACTGTAGCCCTTATTATATTGTCTTTTTCATTTTCTAATTAGAATCTGATAATATATCTCTTAAATTGTGCAGTTTTGTTTGAAATAAATAGAAGAAATATAAAAATATACATGCCTTTAATTCGTAGTCTATAAGTTGAATATGTAGTTACAAAGTAACAGTAATTTAAGTTCAGTTATTTAGGGTAAATAATTTCATTCAAATCTCCAAAAATAGCGGATATAATCAAGTGCTACTTCTTATTCGAACACCTTATATAAATCTGTTTATGTTTCACTACTAGAATTAATTATAGCTTAGTATTTTCAATGAATGAAAAAAATTCGTTTTTATTACGATATCAAGTGCCATTAAAAAGTATACATTTCACGTGCATGAATTTAATAATCATTTTTTATGTTTATATTTATATATTTTTATTTTTATTTTTAAATTTGTGTCTCCTTATATTTTTAGAAATCGGATGGAGAGCGAAAACGACTCCCGCCGATCATCCGGTCTCTCAATACGAATTCGACGTGTTAATCGGCGCGGACGGTAAAAGGAACACATTGGAAGGCTTCAAGCGGAAAGAGTTTCGAGGAAAATTGGCCATCGCCATAACAGCGAATTTTATAAACAAACGTACCGAGGCGGAGGCTCGGGTTGAAGAAATCAGCGGAGTGGCTTTTATCTTTAACCAGAAATTTTTTAAAGAATTGTACCAGGAGACTGGTATTGATCTGGAAAATATCGTGTATTACAAAGACGATACACACTATTTCGTGATGACTGCCAAGAAGCATAGTTTGATCGACAAAGGTGTTATCCTGCAGGTATTAACACACCTAACTTTTGCATTCATATTACAAAACGTTTACTGGCCAACTAATGTTTTGTACTTCTCTGTAGATACGTTTTGTAGAATATATAATGCTAGGATGTATATTTTAGAATTTATAAAAATTCAATAAATGAAAAACTTATTGACATATGAGCTCGTAAGCTTTAAAAATATTTATACACATATTAATTCTGATTTGCTTTATATCTTATTATGTAAAATAGTCTATCTCAATTTACATCTTAAAGAATTTTGCGTATCTCATTTATTTATTCATAGATTAAAATTATCTTGGATTACTTATTTTAGATTTTTTATTAAGCAACTTGCATAAAAAAAATAGGACAAAACTATTTGCGGAATTTGACACTTGTAAGATGATTATGAATAAAATTCTAATAATGATAATAATAATAATAATAATGATAACATGTTTGACCATGTTTAGGATCATGCAGACACTGCCAAATTACTCGCCAAAGAGAATGTGGATCGAGAGGCACTGATGCTTTACGCTCGCGAAGCGGCCGAATTCTCCACAGAATACCAAATGATGGATATGGAATTCGCGGTGAATCATTACGGACAACCAGACGTGGCTATGTTCGATTTCACGTCAATGTACGCGGCGGAGAATGCTAGTCGAGTTTTGGAGCGTCGCGGCCATAGATTACTTATGATTCTTGTCGGCGATAGTCTGCTGGAGGTACATTCGATTAATTAATTATATCCCTGTCTTTATATACCTTACAAATATTATATATTTCAATTCTCTAATTACACTGTAAATTATTTTATGAAAACGGAAACTAAATAGACTTTTGTTTCTGTTACTAATTACAAACGTTAGTAAAACGTGTAGTTCATTCTATTGTTTATTAAATATTTCTTAATATTAATTATACTTTGCCTTTTGTGAATAAACTTCTAAATACTGCCGCGTTATTATATGAGTAGTGGAAAACGTTTAAACATGAAATTACCATTTTTAACTTGTTGCAGCCGTTTTGGCCGACGGGCTCCGGCTGCGCGAGGGGATTTTTAAGTTCGTTAGACGCCTGCTGGGCAATTAAACAGTGGGGTTCCTCGATGTCGCCCCTAGAAGTGATCGGAGAACGAGAATCGATCTACAGACTTCTTGGTCAGACCACGCCGGAAAATTTGAACAGAGACTACGCCGCGTATACTCTGGACCCACACACCAGGTAGAGTGCAGTACTTTCAACGTAATCGTAATTAACGTAAATTAATTATTTAATAATTATCATTGAGCTCGACCGCTTTTAATCAAAATATCTCTTATTTGTATACATTAGAAAATGTATACAATTAAGTTGTACACTGCAAATTTTAGCTGAATTTCACATTTGACTGAAGCACATTTGCTGAGAAATCTAGCAATTCGTGAAGAGTACTGTACAGTTCGATGACCATTGTTAATAACAGGGCCGCGCCAAGCCGAGGGTGCAAAAAACAAGTATTTAATATTTATTTTACATCAAACATCTAATTTGAATAATGTAATGCAGTATAATCATTAATTATGTGCTAACGAAAGAGATGGAGCATTATTGAAAGATCACAATGATACTTTCCAATCTTTTAAGGGGAGGCTAATAAAAGTTTGCACCCGGCAAATACCATTGGCGCGCTCCTGGTTAATAGTGTCCATTCAGTAGAGTGTTTAATTAAAACTGTTAATCAGTGAACCTGATATTTCATATACATCGATTTAACACATTGCGCACCGGTTAATTCTTAAAAAACTGGGATGCGTGACCGATGATCTTGAGTGAGATTAACTCTAATAATTATCACTATGTGTAAAATATTTAAATATCTTACTGTTATTTAATAAATTTTGAAATAACTTAAAAATAATCAATGTTAATTATATTTAATAATGTTTTGAATGATGTGGTATTTAGCAAAGCTATTAAGGTAAGTATTTATATAAAAACTAGATTTCTCGTTTCCGGTACGCAATGTGTTAATTATTATCCATCATCAGCTCTAAATATTTTTATTCTCGCTATCTACAGTAACTGAATTCTCTTTAAGATACCCAAATCTGAATGTATCCTCTGTAACGCCAATGCAAGTGCGAAGTCTGCTCGATACAGATGATCCCGACAGCACTAAGCAGCCACCCGTGCAAACTGACGTAGATATACCTAAGAAACGCCGTCGCCGTGGTAAGTTTCGTAAATTTCTGTTGATTTCATGATTCATTTAACCTTTATCATTTAACACTTTCAGCTTGGCGGCTTTATCGCTACGCCAATTATTGTCGAAAAATGAAATTGTTGACGGTCTAAAGATATGTTATTGCTACTCCACAGCAATTTTATGATAAAATCGTCTTGAAAAGTTCGAGTTTACTTACCCTAATAATGCGGAATTCGTTTTTCGAAAGCATTAGGTTTTAGGTAAATTGTGTTAGCTTTTAAATGAATTAGCATGTAAATACTCTCCCATTGGATCGTGAAATAATAAAGTAAAATTTGTTTGTACTATCAAAGTTCACAAATACATCTTAAATATACATACAAAATACATTTTTGCAACACTTGTTCGTGCTCTGTCAAAATAGTAATTAATACTTCCGTAAGTCACTGCATTGAATGATTGATACTAATCATCGCTGAGCGGATGTAAAGTTCATCCGAGCTTATGTTCGTATATCGTTAATCATATATGTATGTATAATAATATAATATACATATATAACCGTACGTGTTCTAAGTATGCAACGAACTTATATCAATCATGATATAACACACATATATTGCACAAGCATTTTAATGGCAAATAATAATGCGTAGGTATTTGAAAGTTATTTCATTTAATCTCCCAAAAATTTGGGATGAACGTTAGTAAGTTTAAGAATTGTATGTTATTAAGTTCCGATTGAGAAACTTTTTAGCGTCCCAATTCTTTTCAGTCATAATATATTTCAGTATGGATACTCAGCTGGTTGAAATTATAACATGTTAAATAAATACAATATTGTACAATGATATAATGGATACAATAAATTTAATAATATAATACAATATACTGATAAAATACTATATTGCTTACTATGTATTACTATAACATTTTGCAAAAGAATCCCCAATATGAAGTTCTGGTTTCTAAATATCGCGACAGTAATATGACTTTTACCCTATTCTTTGTATTATCCTTTGGTTTTTCTAAAGAACTATTATTACTTTGAAATTTAGATTTCTCAATTATTCTCAATACATTGTTCCAATGATATAATGTAATATAATATGATATTATATATGATATAATATAATATAATATAATATTACATAATATAACATAATGATTATAGTGTTTGAATTTTAATGATTCTTGAGCCAAAATTACACTTTATAATATGTTAGTCTATGCAACTCATTTAATATGAAAACTACCAAATGAGTTAAAATGACTCATAGAAAATTTCTTCTTTCATAATGATCGACATAGAAATGCTTTTCTGAAGAATTTGTAAATAAATTAACTTATTTAATGTACATTCTGAAATATAAATTACTAAAGATCGTAATAAATGCACCTTTATAATGCGTATAAAAAGATACGAATCAATCAATTTGATTACTGGGCAGTTCTAATGTTAATCTACAAAGTAAAATTGCTTTACCTACAATTAGAGCAAAAGAACTGCAAGTATCCGACGTTTTGACCGAAAAGAGTTCAAATGCAAAGTAAAGTAAAGAAAAATATTGAATCGAAATAGCAAATTAATTTGGATTAATGAATCAATATTGTATAGATCTTCATGGAGATGCCCAAATTCATCCAGACATGCTGCTTCGCTGGCTACAGAAGCAGGTTGCTCTGTACGACTCGGTAAAAATTGAAGACATGGGTGCCTCTTTCAAAAGCGGTCTGGCTATTTGTGCGATCATCCATAGATACCGTCCAAATCTGATAGATTTCCACAGCTTGCAACCGGAGGAGGTGGAAAAGAACAACCAGCTGGCTTTCGATATTTTAGAGAAGGAATTGGGTATACCGCCAGTAAGTCAATCACTTGTAACTTGTAACTTATAATGGCGCAAAAAATTAGACAAATATTTCTTGGTCCTTTATCGTTTTCTACAGAAATACGAGGTGATACAATATTCTAATATTGTACATTAATATTAACATCAAAACAAGTGGTAGCTACAAATTACTAAACACTCTTGCTTATTGTTGGAATATTTGGAAAAATTATTTATTATATTCCTCCGAAAGAGAGTACATATCAGAAATTAATAATCGTATATGTACTGTTGGAACACTTAATTTCTATAAATAATTGATAGTAACAACAATTAGAGAAAATAACAGTTTACAATTAAAAGATTAAAAAACAGTGATCTATAAATGACAGAAATCTAAAATATGTCTAAAAGAAACATATTCCAACATACATTTCCAATTGTTTAGATAATGACCGGAGAAGAAATGGCTCAATGCGATACACCTGACAAGCTCGCGATGTTTTCCTATCTGACACAGATATACGACGTTTTCCATGGCGAGATTCCTTATGTCAGACATCCGAAATTCGTAAGTATACTAGCGCCATAATAATGAAACAGAAAAAGATCCGAATACTTTAAAGTTACGTTTTATATTTTATAGTATTCATCGTCACGTTCAAAATCGTGGACGGAACATCATTTACCGTCATCAGAACAGCATTTCCTTGGCAAGACATATCCCAGACCTAAAACGCAGCTTAATCCTTCATCCAATAAAAACTCCTCTGTTCGGTCATACGTTGCTCGTAACCAACGATTCGAATCATTCGCGCACTCCATGTCTCGATCACGTTCTCAAGGAACAGTTAATTCGTTAGATTATAATAACAATCGGACATCGTCGAGGCAAATTACCATAGAGGATGAAACATCCAAAAACGGTTGGATACTAGATAAACTTGGATCGTTGAAGAGAATCTTCAGATTCACTAATAATTCTGATATCGAATGCCACGAATGTTTCCATATGGAAAATAGTAAAGTTAACGGACCAATAATAATTTCCTATTAATTCATTCTAAAATGCAATAGATTCTTTTTCACCAGCAGCATTTTTATAGCATATGCAGACAATACTGTGACACAACAGACAATGAAATGATACATGTAAATTTGTTTCAATGCTAACAATAAGGGAGTCGATGCAATTAAAAGATAAATACAAATTCAAAAGTGAATTGATATCAACTGAATGAAAATGAACTCTTTGCCTTATGATATCGTGTCACACTCTTGATGGAGATTTCAGACAGAACTTAACAAATATAAGTATTACTTAATTCTTTTGAATTCAAATTAAATATTATTCATTTATTATCAATTATTATACTTTATTGCAAACGTAAATGTAGATTATGCTTAGATTGGATAGATAGATATTGAGAAAGTAATTGGATTAATCACTGATGACAAAGAAATCATAGGGCAAGGAGTTAAAAGAATAAAGTTGAAGTAGAGACGAATATTGCCATCTGTGTATGCTATTTAAAGATGTAGAAAATGCTGTTGCATTACAGCATTGATTCTTCTTATATGAAATGCAGAACGAATGATATAATAGGATACACGAACGAACGTACAAAATGTTTTAACGTAACGCTTGGTTGTTAAGAAAATTCAATTTAATTCGGTTGACAAAGTTCAAAATTTTTCCATAAAAAAATCGATTTTCTCAATAATTAAATATCACGCATAAAGTTTATTATATATTTTTTTTACTGTTTCGGACATGTCATTCGGGCACACCCTGTATTATAATATATATATATCATCACCTCCATTCCAATTGTATCATACATTCTGCTACAGCTTGTTACAACAATAAGATTAACTGACTGCGGATATTTACGTAAATTAAAATTTATCTAGACTAATATGTTGAAACAAGAATTAAACAAGAATTTAGTGTTTGTATTAAAAGCTGTACAAAGTGGGACATGAAATAAACATAACAAATTATATTCCATTTATAATAATTTTATATCTTAAATATGATTATATATAAATTTTACATTTTAAATATAGAATATATTATAGTACAATAACACTTTTATAAAAATTGTTTATCAATATAGAAACTACAAGAACACACTGAAACATGATGACAATATCAAAATAAATGTTCATATATTTCAAATGGCGACACATTATTTTTTAACAAAAAAGAAAAGGAAGAAAAAGAAACGTTTCTACTGCATTCCTTTGCTACCGTTTCTAATACAATCATTCTTGTTCTCTGCTATGATAAATTGTATAGTTCCCTTACATACGACTAGAATTGAATTAACGTTTCACATATTTCCATAAAATAAAACATAATAAATACGTATACACAATATTTATATATATAAATGCATAAAGTCCGCAGTCTAATGTTTGATATTTTCATCTTAACGAGACATCATCGGTTCTGTTTCCTCAAGGAACCCGAAAACGAAGAAAGGCCATCGCACAGCAAACAATTGAGCCAACTGACAGCCGACCAAAAAGTTCACTTGCTCGACCGAATCGTGAACCAGCAAGAGAGCGGGGCGAGAACGAGACATTCTCGATCGAGACACAACGAAAATTTAACCCCTGCGGATAAAAAGGGGGATACAATCAGCCGACGATCTCGGAAGAGACGTAGCACGGAGAAGATGGGTGCAACAGTTGTAAGTTCCCTTTACATTTCGTTCATCACGTTCTCTAACAAAATCCTTCGAAATATCGACTAGTACAATATATCATAACATTTTACCTTTCAATTTTTTAATTATGTATTCCTTGAAAGCTTCTAGTTAGCAAGCGGTCAAAGGTTAAAATATTCTCTTTTCTTTTCAAATTAAGCCTAAGGTCAACTCTTTGCACACACTGATTAGGGAGTTCTTCTAGGGGGACATTCATGTGTAAACGTAGAATCAATGATGCTATGCAAAGAGTTTACTAATAGTACATTCAACCCTTTATGCAATAAATGATTTACTTGTTAAGTGAACTCGTAGAAAGATATCGTAAAATTCTGCGAATCTGGTACTAAATTATTTGTATATACAAAATTATTTAGATCAGGGGAAACGGGATTTGTTTGTTTTTATTTCCATACATTTCCTTCAAGCTCTGACAGCAATATTTAGTCTGGCTGAAACTTTGAAAAGACGACATTTTATAGAAGATAATAGATTAGAATGGATCGCGCATAGTTGAATAACGTAACATGAAAAATATAAAATATTGTGCGTTCATTGCGTGTTAACAAAACGGAAAAACAACATAATATAAAAGACAGATTAAAAGTTTAAAGTTTAACATGATGTATGATAAATTTGTATTTTTTATTAGGATTTAAATAATAATTTGATGAAACTAAAATTATCAGTGACATGTAACAGATTCGCAGTAATACGAATAAACTGGTCACTTCATGTTTAATTGAAAATTTAAATAAAAATATTGCATTCCATAAAATACGTACTACGAACTATTTATTATTAAATTAATTTGATGATAAATAGATTAACATAATAATAAGTACCTTTATTGCATCACTGTACAATTTACATAGATGAACGCATGTCTCTTCCATAAAGGGTTGAAAATCGAGCAATAACGCGTTAGATACATACACTTACTCGAAATTTCCGATGCTTATATCCTATATAGTCACGCTGGCAGAAGATTAAACCAATTATGTATTCTGGGATAATCGTATCATTGATCGTAATAATTGGAATTACCATTACCATGGCGCAGAAGGAGGTCATTGCATTCTAATCGCTTCGCATAGTCGACGAAAGTATCAGTGGAACCTTGCGAATACCTGTCGGTTATGTTGTAAACATTTTCTATCTCTGTCACTCTATATTTATGTTGTAATATACTGGCTACGCTAGCTTTCGTATTTGTCCCACCTACTAAAATAAAGAAAACAAGAGAAAAGAAAAGAAAACAGAACAAAAGCAATTTAGATCGACATAGATTACCGTAGACTTTTGTACTAGAGTTACGTTGGGATGGTAGATTAGACGTCTGAAATCGTACAGTCAAAATAACGTTTGGTCCTTGCCACGTAAAGAAACGGAAGAGAACATAAGGAACCTTTTCAACCAGCACACGCAGATTTTGATGAAACTTCTGCGAGACACAGTTCTTAAGAAAATATTTCACATGTACTTCTTCTTATCGATCAACATTCGCTTTCAAATGGTGAAAGTACCCCTTAAATTTAAGTGTTAAACGCTTATAATTTACAATATCTCTGAAACCCAGAGGCGTAGAAAAAAATGTTGTTTCGATTATTCGTCTCTGAACGAAGAATTTAACTGTACAAGAAACTGACTGTTTAAATAATCTACTAAAATTCTTGTCCAATTCAATTCCTCATTCGGATACGAATAATCTAAAAAACAATTTCTTTCCTACACCCTCTAGTTGCAAAGATATTGCAGACAATGTACTTTCAACCCTCAACTGTGAGGATTGTTTTGATCCCTTCAAAGTGAATGTTAGCCGATAAGAAGAAATATGAACATATGAAATATTTTCTAAAGGACTGCGTCTCGCATAAGTTCCATCAAAATCCGCGCTAGTTGAAAAGGTCTCCTTGTTAGTTAAGACTTCTCTCTACCCTTTGATGTCACATGTGACCGTGTGAATATAATAGACAATCTGAACCACTTAATACGAACCGTGACACGTGAACTGTGTTGATTAATAATCGGAGTACTTTGAGGGTTTGTTTGATTTGATTTGAGACTAGAGAAAGATTACGACCCGCCGAATGTGTAGCCGGACGACAATTAATCTGACAATGTGTTTTGCACGTTTCTCGCGGTGCGCGCACACGTAAAGGAGGAAAGGCAGAAGAGACTGGCCGATATCGAAAAGAATCGTGCCGATCGTATGCGAAGACGGCAATATTTGCGAAAGATGGCGACGCAGCAATTCTACAAAAGTATGCAGATGCTGCAGGCGAATGCGAAACGTGAGAAAGACGAGCCATTCGAAGATTACTCGATATTCTTGTACCGTCAAACTGCGCCGGATTTCAAGGATAGAGTGAAATATCTTGAACAGAAAATATTATACCCAGTAAGCCAGAGAGTGAACGATCTTACGGAGTGTATAACGTACTTTTGCTCTCCACTTAACAAAGAGTTTTGTGAATTAAACAAATCGCTATTATAATACGACAGCATATCACACGCCGGTCGAACGATAGAGTGGATAATATATAATAGCAATAATAAGTGTGTACCGTAACAACGTAAACTTTGTATGTGAATGATCTCGGCATGGACTGCTCATTTACATACTAATTGACTCTATTAGAATGCGTTCGAACAAATTTCCGTTGCAGATTCTAGAGAAGACGTGTTCACTAACAACATGAAAAGGGTAAAGGGCGACGCGAGAACTTCTTTTATGCATGTAACGTAACGATAACGTGTATCTTTGAAACGGCTACCACATTTTGTACAGTTCCAAAAAAGCTGTTGCTCTCACGTAACGCAAAGAGGCTACTGCGATACTTCAGTATATTTTTAAAGCTGCTACACTAACATTGCGAATCGAGTAGGTCGTAAACTCGAGACGTTAGTATTTCGTTTGTACGCTTCATTTTACAAGTTTGCTAAATTTGTAATCGTCGTTTATCAACGCGGCATGGTTTATTAGACTTAGTTTTATATCGTGAGTTTCTTCTAGGACAGAGAACCCAAGATACACGCCGGCCATCGTAGAAATAGCATAGACGAAGAATTCTCCGGGAGGATTAAGAACATCGAAGACAAGTTAAAGGGATCCACGCCGTCTGAGAAGAAACCTAGGGATCTTTTGCGTGCCATTGGTTTGTCACGTATTCATTTTCAAGGAGATATTGGGTTCATGCGAAAATTTGGAAGTTTCTTGTAGGTGGTTAACAAAACAATTGTTTTCTTCGAAACAAATTCATCGCTTTTTAAATTGTAACGTTTATAAGCGACACTTTTTTTCTTTGTCTTTATTCGATCTTGGTTTAGCTAGTGAACGGTTGAGAACTCTTCTTTTAATTTCTTGTAAAATATGTCAAAACTTTTGTATCAACCCAATACGATCTAATATTATAACATACATTGTATGTGTTGTATATTAATTGACATCATGTTATTGTAAAGGAAAAATCGAGAAGACCGATTGGAACGTGAAGGAGATTGAAAAGAAAATCGAGGAAAGTAAGATGGGTCGTTCAGTCCGACACGACAAAGTAGAACGGGTACCCAAATGGAGTCGAGAACAGGTTGGCATACAAAAGATTAACAAACATTGATAATCAACGCTTTTTCAGATGTGTATATGCTTCATTCAGTTTTTAGCTCGACAAATCAAGATGGAGAAGAAGGGGCGTGATCAGAAGGAGACAGATAGTAAGTACGCTGATATTGACAATACCCTGAAGAATATAGACAAGAAGATCAAAGAGGGTAATGTGCTCGGGTACAATAAAGTCTCGGCTATGGCCGAACAATTTTCGAATAAAAGTCAGGACGCGGAGCCCAAGGTGCAGAAATCGGTAAATACGATACTACAGACTCTCAGTCCTCGAAGACTCTAGTCAGCAAGATGTTCGAAGTCACATTCGTTATTTTGTACAGTACTTAGTTGGAGAAACTTGTTCTATGTACCCATCTACCTATGAATATTCTAAGCATGTAAAGTATTTAAAAATTAAGGCTACACAAATTGTCCATAACTAAACAATTTACTAAACTATTCTCAAATTCGTGTTACTAATCACATCGATACTGCAATGTTCATAATATATAACAGTAATCTGTAATTATACATTTCAATTACAATGTAACGGTTAACATGTCACTGGAAATGTTACTATTACGTATAAAGAATATATGTGCTGACTAAAATTCTTTTGAATCGAAGACCTCAGGTCGATAATTATTACTTTATTATTTAACATTTTTTTACAGAACGTTAAGCCTACCATAACCCTGCCCGCTCAAGGAGGTTCAGAGATGTGTCACTTCTGTAATAAAAGAGTTTATTTGATGGAGAGGCTTACTGCTGAAGGGAAGTTCTTCCATAGAGGCTGTTTCCGTTGCGAATACTGTTCTACCTCATTAAGAATAGGTTTGATTTCATTGACTCTAATTATTTATACATTTTATGATATCCAAATATTTTATATATTCTACAGAAATTTTTCGATTTATAAAAGTATTATCCAACTATTTAACTTTCATATCATTTTAAATAGTTTGCCCTTTGTACTTTAAAGTATATTATTATAAGAAATGTTAAATTAATTGTCTTATGGATTATGGCTTTCCCAATTTTAGGAAATCACACATTTGATAGGGAGAAGAACGGCGGACGATTTTATTGTACGCAACATTTCGGCTTCCCTGGAACAATAAAAGCTCGCGTAGAGAAGAAGAAGCTAACTTCGTTGAACAAAGAGAATATACCTATCACATCTGTAAATCTGAAAACACCTGAGAAGGTATAATTCAAAATTCCATTTTAGAAATTACTGTTGAAATCAGTAATGCAATAGGATCTAAAAATATACACTTTTTCACTTGCTTATTAACAAATTTTTATTAATTTAGGCAAAAATACCTTTGGAAGGCGTTGTTGGGCTCGACTTGCTCGATCGTGGACAAACTCCTGAGAGAATAGAATTTGAAAATTTAGCAGGTATATCGGACGCTGAAGAACCACAAAGTCAAATGGATGAAGATGAATGGACAGATAGAAATTTCGGTGCATCCACTGCAGAAATGGGGTCCAGTGATGACATTTCGGACATGAGGTAAATTTTCTTTATATTTTTTGAATTACCTATGTTAACACGTTGACCACCACGAGAATGTTGAGTGTTTTGTATGACATTACTTATTTTTTCATAATAAATACAGATAGTGATAGAATGAATTATTAATGATTTGATATCATAGTTCTTATTATTTAGATTCTTATGTTATTAAATATTTTGATTTGACAACGATTTTCTTTCTTTATAATTCTTTGCAAATAATTTGAAAGCTCCGGTCATCAGTGACTACCGGGATGGTCAACGTGTTAATTTATATTAATTTTTAATAGTGATTCGGAGGATGACAACGAAGTATATGAGGAAGCCATGGATCAACCTTTGACGACTGAAGGAACCCTTGAACTCGCTAAAAATTGGACGTTGAGGTACTCTCATCCACATACTGCAATGGGGCAGTCCGATACGGGCAGCAACGAATATGAAGACTCTAGTGAATATACGAATGAAGGTACTATTATTGGGTTGATATAAATGTTTTGACGTTTTTAATTTTTAGATTTAGTTTAGTTTAAACCAAACTAAGTAAAATGAAGAAAAAAGTGTCCTTTATGCATGTTAAAATAGGTTGAAAACAAATGTTATTTATTTCAAAGAAACAAATTTTTTTGTTAACCACGTAGAAGAAACATAAATATTTTTGCATCAATCTAATATAATAATTTTGAATGACTAAATTATTATGTTATAGAGCAGAGTGCACAAAAGGTTAAACATATTGTTTGCATCATACATGTTTCAGCTTTGAAAAAGATAAATTCTTATTATTGCTTAAAATTCTACATTTAATTTCCATTAGATGACGAGAGTACTACTGCCACGGAAGATGAAGAAGACATACGCGCTCGAGAACTCAGAAAACAAGAAGTATGGTTGAAGCATCCTACCCGCAGTTCTGATACGGACACTGGTTCGGAAACGGAGGTGAAAATTACTCAAGATTCTGTAGATAGTGTAATTCAAGAATCACTTGTACCTCCCAAAGCCGATTCAACAAACGATAATAGTGAAATCGTAATTAATCAGAACATTATTGGCACAATAGATGTTCAAAACTCTTCCAACACAAAAACATTAGAAACTGATGCATCTATCGTAAATACAGATCAGCAAATAGAAAATAAACCCGAAAATGAAGCATGTGGAAGCGTAATTCCAGTCCCTGATTTCCCATTTGATATAACACCAGATACAACAATAAATAATATTATTAAATCAGGTTTCCCTTTTAATCAGTTTGTTGACGATAATAATTCCTGCAAACACGATAATACAGAAGAATGTATCACAGAACACGAAAGTTTAGTAAACGAAAAAGTTCCTTCAAATTTCAATACAACTGAAAAAGTTATAAACGATTTACCAAGTGAAAAAATACTTATACATTCAAATTTGAAAGACAGTGGTAACGATAATATTAAATTATATAATGAGATAAATTCTGACAGTGATATTTTGCCTAAAACAAACTTTATTAATAACGAGTCACATCAAGAAATAACTTATGTTAATAATGAATTAAATAATAAAGTAACCTCTGATTTACATGTTGGAATCCCAAATACAAGTAATATATTAAATACTCAACTGCAAACAGCGTTTGCAGGAATTATGCTTCCAGATGCTATTCCATTTAGTCAGACTAGTTATGATAGTGCAATACAACCTGATACCGAAGAGGATGCAAACTTCACGGAGAAACTTCCAGATCTGGTAACTTCTTCTCCGAAGCGCGTTAGAGATTCATCACCATCATCAATGTCTGAAATTTATAAATCAACTGAAACGTTATACGACGAATTATACATGTCCGACGTTCCGTCCAAAACTTCAGAAAGGTCGGAGTTAGATGATGTAACAGAATTAGAAAATGACAAATTTAACAAAAAGCACAACAAGCTCGAATTATCTGTTATAAATGTGGAACAAATTCCAATTGTAACTATTACTTCCCCATCTCCAACGAATGAGAAACCATTGGAACAATCATCTGTCGAAGCCGCTAAATTGAGTGTCCCTAAACAAGTTTGCAACCAGCCAGTCCAATCGGATGGAAATAGTTCATTTGATAAACTGAAGCGAGATTTACGACAAAGAAAAGCCAAGAATAAGATTTCCATAGGTGAACTTCGACCATTATCTAGAGAAAATGCTCAAGAGAAGATAAATAAATATTTTCATGCAGAGAAAAATGAAAATACGAAGAAACAATACGTAAAACCTTCAAATGAAAGTTCAACTGACGTCAAAATTGTTGAGTTAAATATTAAGCCCAAATTGTCTACAAAAGTTGAAGCGAAGGACATAATGAAATATTTTCAAAGGACGATGCTTAAATCCCCCGAAGGACTAGAAAATATGAATGACAATAAGGAACACGAATATCTAAGTGATAATAATGAATCCGAAGACCAATGTAACATAAACATGAGCATTGATGACAGTAATATTGATACTATTTCTCAGCAGTTTGACGAAATCGAATTGCAAGCTGAAGAAGTACATTCAGACACGGAAGATTTAAACTTGATGTTAGATTTCAATATTCCCTCTATGACATTGCATTTAGAAAAAACAGATTTACGAGATAATATAGAAGATTCAAATAAGGTAGACCGCCCATCTGAAATTCCAAAAACTATAACTCAAATAGAGTCAATAAAAGGGGAAAATATAAATATAATAAATAATGTTTTGGACAATAAAACACATACAGAAGAATCAAATATTACAACATTGTGTCCAAAACTTGACAACGATGTTTCGAAAATTAAGTTATCTAAAGAGACTATCAGATACCAAAGTAAAACGGATATCCCAGTTGATTCTCATGAACATATTACTACTAACTCAAACGATAGAATGTTAATTTCACAGCAAAACACCGATATTTCAGAAACTAATATTTCATTACCTGCGGATAAGGCATATATCGCGCATAAGCCTGAAGAAAAAGTTGAAATTAATGAGGAACAAAACACATTAATGCCAGAACTCAACAACATGAATGTTGATATTAATGGGAAAGAAACACCATTACCCCCTCAATTTAATAACGTCGTAAAACCTATGTCACTTATAAATAAAACAAATACGACTGTTGAATCTGTTAAAGCACAATCGATATTGATACCTCAAAATAACGATAATATTTTGAAAAATATATCGGACTCGGATAAAACCAATGTTATAATTAAATCTCATAAAAATAATGAAAATAATGGAATTAACGCAAAGCAAACAATGTTAAGATCCCAACTCAATGAGAGGAATATAACAGATATCGACAGTAAAAATAATTTATGTGTAAATAATGATAATTTAAATACAAAAGATGGTATTTGTGATAAAGTTGAGAAAGCACATAAAAATTATCAATCTTCTTCTGAACTTGCGAACCTTTCTCCAAAATATGGATCAGTTACAAAAGTTAAGATTATTGAGCAAAATATTGAAGCTTTAAAAAAAGTGGACAAAATAAATACAGACGGTAACACAGTTTCATCAAACACGTTAAATGAAGTTTCAAGAAGACCGGAAAACAAAAATATACAGTACGAATTTGGTTCTTCGAATACATTTACCCCGGAAGTTCCTGCGCGAAAAAGATCTTCAAAAAGAAAATCAAATGTTGCACTTGCTTTAGAAGAACCTGTCAGTAATACACATGCAAGTAACGTTTTCTTAAATAAAAGATTACCTGTACAGGATGTTCTTATGGATAAACACAAAAATGTAGGAAAAGAAGAAACAAATTGCAAAGAGCAAACAGTAGAGTCTGTTAATAATTGCACTGACACAAATAAAAATTTAAATGCATTAGGGAATAGTTCTATGGAACAGCAACATTCTTATTCCATAACGTCTCCGCCATCGATCAAAACTGATCAGCATGAATGTACCAAATCTGTGCCTCCTAAGAATGATAGATCGAGAAAAGATAGATGTGTATTGTCATAACATATATACGTGTATGACATATATACATATGTGTGTATATATACATATATATATCTATATATACATATGTATGTGTATTTTATTTTTCATAATGTATACGATTGCATTAACTATAATGAAAAAATCTATAAGCACAATTGTTATATCTTTACAAAAATGTATTTTTCAGTTTTATGATTTACACGTAAAGAAATTCTGTGAGATGTATTAATAAAGTAAACTTAGATATTAGTTATAGTTGGCTGATGGTGATATTTCTTTTTAAAAAATACCCAAGACCGTTGAAGAAAAGGTAAAGCATTTTTATATATAAATGGAGTGATCTATTGAACTAATAATTTTGAATTAACAGTGACTCAAACTAATTAATCGTTTGTGCTTTGTTTAGTGTTCATGCTAAAATGGGTAACGTAACTGACCAAATTTGTATTAATTTTAAAATTACCACCAGCCAATACTTTATTAAAAATCTCACTCTGTCATCTCAAAAAGAAAATATAAAGTTACCATTATGATCCATATTGCAGCAAAAAGTGAGTGATTATAAATTAGAAGCATCATATACTTCTTAATACATTCATATCATACTTGTAACTCATTTAATTCTATGCCATATGTTTTGTTAAGTTCTAAAATTTGTTAAATGTCGGAAATTTTATACGCAGAACACTCATCTGATAGAATGCACTATGTTCTTTACTATTTTATTTGATCTTTCAACTAACCCACTAAAAATTTCTGTTTTGCTGTAACATTTAATTTGTTTGTAGTATTTTCAATTATAAATTGACGTATTTTCCTACAGGTTGCCTCTAACGATGGAACATCAGAAGAAAGTGAAGAAAACTCAGCCACAGAAATATCAACAGACTCCGAATTCGAGCACGATGGAACAATTCCAACGCAGCACGAGATTCCGGAAATCACAATCAACGATTCTTACGTTCGGAAGACTAGAGGAAATTACGTAGAACCAAAGAAAGTTCAAGTGAAAAGCAAAGTTATATCATCTATTAATGGAAATCTAAAACAAACTGCTGAGTCAATTCCAAAATCACAGTTGAAGACAACCGAACACACTGTAATAAATTCGTCCCACACGGAAAAAGAAAGTAACTCAAACTTATTGGGGTCCAATAGTACAAACCGAGTTCCACTAGTAAATCCATGGAAAGGGGATTACTTATTGAACCGAACTCATTCTACAGAGTGCATTGCATCCAAATTATCTTTGGAACTTAAAAAGAAATATTTACTTGGCGGATCAGCTTTTGGTGGATCTGTTATGAAATCTGGATCAGCTTCAAATGTTGATACTCAGCTACGAAATTTAACAGATGCTATCTCTCAGCATCAAAAACTTCTGAATCCAGCACCAGAGCCAAGTCCTACGATGCAAGCATTTTTGCAAGGAACTAGCAAACTAAGATCAAACAATACTCAACTATCACCGATATCACCTACAGCTATGTTCTCTTCTTCTCCGATACGACCATGCAGCACCAACCGTTCATCTCAAAATTTATTAAATAATGATAACCCCATTTATAAGGCAACAATTTTACCAGAAATATCAAAAACTCAGTTACCAGACTTGGTGAAAGAATCTAGTATTTTAAAATCAAAGACTGCCCCTAATATTGTCTGCGGCGAATCAAAGAATGCATCAGAAAAAGAACTTAAGAAAGAACAAGTTGCACCTAGCCAAGTTAAAAATGAAATACTGGAAAACGTGAAAAACTCGCAAATTATAGAAAGTAACTTTATAGGAAACACTGATGAAAACAATGGTTTCCGGCCACGTAGTCCACTACACGAGACATCAATAATTGTACCACAGTTGAACTGGAATAAAAAGAAAGAAGAAGTAAAGGATGCTGCTAGCTCTGGCGATTCAGAAATAGACAGTGATTCCTTATCTTCTAGCGATGATGAAGGAGAAGATGGGGTACAAAACCAAAAAGCAGTTGCCATCAATTTATCTCCTCCACGATTGCAGATTCACAGTACAGATGGGGATCTGCTACTAGACGAAGAAGCTGATAAGTGTAAAGATTTTGATGATGGCCAGTCATTTGAACCTGACTCTATAGAATGTTCCCTCTTACAAGATAAAGCATTGAATCAGAAAGTAAACTCTGTTACTCATGATCCGACTCTTTCTATAAACAACACATCGGTAGAGTTGGAAATAGTAAAAAATGAAATTGAACAATTGGAACTGCAAGATGACAGCAAGAAAAGTTTTAGCAATTGTAGTAGTCCTGTATCAGTAGCGTCTACTCTATCTAATAAACATAATGATGATTCCGAGGAAAATGATGTTACTACAGCAGCACTCACTGAAACTGAATTTTCAGAATGGGCTCGAGATGGGGAGGTTTTAGTGTCGGATGATCTACGAGATGTAGAATTCAACATCAATCCAGAATTTATAACTACTAGAAAAACAACATTATCGAGCTCTCAAAAGTTGAGTTACACACCAATCACAATAGCCAAGGAGGAAGATCTAACGGATATGGATTTGGACTCTTTCAAAATTGACAACAATCTAGAGACCCCTATCAATAATACTTCTCAACTTTTAGCTAACGGTGAAAACATAGATTTTATGGATACAGATAATGATTCATTATTAGATGATAGTCTACAAGATGCTTCCAATATTGTGATGCTCAAGAATAGGGGGTACGTTGAATTTGTAAATATTAGAAGCACTTCAGCACATACAAGTGCACAAGATAAATTAACTGCAGATGCTCCCATAGCAAAATTAGAGATAGAGAATGATACGTGTTCGGAAGAGGAGGTTTGCAATGATAGAAATGTTATAGAAATAAATCCAGTTACCATGGATGATGTGATGAACAAATTAAATGGTACAGTAAATAAGTCCGAAGATGAAATTAAAATAACCACAGATTCTAAACTAAATAATGAACAGCAAGATGAACTGATCACAGAAGCAGTAAACAAGGAAATGTATCCATCAATGGAAGAAGATAGTCTGCTAATTGTTGAACCAGCAGAAGATACTACCACCAGTGAGGTAATTACAGTCCTTGCTAGTCCTGTTAATCCGCAAGTGTCAATAGTTCCAAATTTAAATTCTCAAATCCAAGAACCAAACCAGGAAGGTCAGGAAAAAACTATTGCAGATTCTAGCAATCCAGATTACCTAGAATATGTAAAGCGTCTGCAGTCCAGAATTGCCGAGTTTAGCAATGCAAAAGATTCCATAGACGTCAGAAAATCAAAGAGAAAAAATTCAAAGAGTTCAGTACAATCCCGAACAGCTGAGATAATAGCCGAAGAGATTAAGAGTCAGGAAGCTGCAATAAATAACAGTTTTAATTCTCCAGTTACCTCTAGGAAACTGGAAGAAATTAGTAGAGAGAGATTCAAGCAAAAAAATGTTATACAGGATTTATTAATGGACAAACTGGAAGCACATAAACAGAAATCTGCGGAAAAGAAAGCAAGGAGAGCTGCCCGGGTTTCCTCTTTCAATTCTACACCTGTTTTATCGCCCATAAAACCACCTCTTCCTAGTGCTTCACCAGTTAGTAAATTTGTACCCAGTGCAGTAGTAACACCAACAAATAGTGCTTTACGAACCACTTCTACTGTGGATAACAGATCATCAGAAACAGTAAAGACTCGAGAGTCTCAACAGTTCCCATGGAAATCAGAGAACGATAAAGATACAAGTAGCGAAAAGAATGTAAGTGATGTTCAACCCTTGGAGAATACTACAATAATAAAGCCAGACAATGAAGCAGAAGATACGTTTAAAACACCAATAGCTCCACCTAGATTAAAACACGAAGAGGCGAAAAGAACTGCTGAAAAAGCAAGACAAGATGCTAGGGAAAGAGCTAGAATGATGAGCGATGAAGACTTGGGTCTCAGTCCAGAGGACAAGATTAAAGAATTAAAAATGAAAGTGGCACGAAGACAACTTTCAATGGAAGATAAAAAAAGTAAGAAGGAAATACAGATTGAACCACGAACCAGATTGTACAATGCTGGAGTAAATAAGACTGGATTGAAACTGCAGACAAGCAAAAGCACAGATAATATGAAAGCTGTAGCAGAGGCAATAAACTTCGGAGGTCTATGTGCTTCTAACGCGAAATCAATGGACGAACTGTTGCATGCTGGTGAATCTCCAAAATCTGACACTTGTATTACAGTTGTAAAAAGAGAAAAGAAACAAAAAACAAAGGATCCGGAAAGAAGAAAAAGTATCATTCAAGCAGTCTCAGACTTCTTTTTCAAAAAGGACTCTTCTCAGTCGCCGTCGTCCAATCAGAAAGACAAGTTATCTATGTTCCGCCTGACCAATAAGTCAAAAGGCAAAGTATGTATATTCTTTTCTTTCTGTTTAATATTCATTGAATCTCTTCTGCTGTTCAACAACTGTACATTTCTGATTTTCTTTTAACTAATTAGATTCTAAAATGTTTCAGTTATGTAAATCGTATTCGGAAGGGTCTGATGTAAGCAACTCATAAGTCATTGATACTAATTTTTCCAGTATTAGCTTTCTTATGCCACTATTTGTATTCGCTATTGTATATCGTGCAGGTACTATGATTTTATTTTTCATTTGCTGCACTTTATCGTCCGCTTTCAAGGGGTAACATACTGATTGGCACATAAAGTGTGTTGAATTTTATTTTAAACGTATGGCTATTAAAACCTCGTAATAACAATTTTCTCCCCCAAAAAGGAGCATGTTTTTGATGGTACATAAATTATTGTTTTATTTATATTTGTCTTTCTAATGTGCTTTATCAAATATATTTAACATAAATTCTGACTGTAAGTGTAAATTGTAAGAGAACATTAGTTAACAAGAAGTTCCTTGGTTATTTACTTCAATACTGAATATTTCATTTAATTTCTTGTTAATTACCTTTCTAATAACAAATTTAATTTGTTAATTTATTGGGCAGAGAAAAGTCTCGTAATTATTCTTGTAACTATGTGTATGTGTTTTTCATAACTGCATTAGCTTCGTATGTTTGAGCTTTTATAATTTTCGTATAAGTTTTTGCAACACTTTTACAGCATTTTATATTATTACAGTGTTTTTTAGTATTATGTTTTTCCCGTTATAGCAATGTATAAATTGAACAATTTTATTCTTTTATATATATACATATATTAGAATTGTAATAAAAAATAATACTACAGTGCATTATTTTTTCCAGCTTGATAAAGTTGTACCGGCAAAGATTAATACAAGACCAAAAAGTGTTTGCGAGGGAATGCTTGCAAGGAATTTCTTAAATGAAAATCCACCACCAATTCCACCACCTCCGCTTAATTATACTATTCCTACAATACATGTATCAGGTAGGAATAACATATTCAGATTGTTATAATTTATAATTACTGAAAAATACCTTATTTAATAATAATACTATCTACATTATATTTGATAGATGACAGCTTATCAGAAGACGAAACAAAAACGACAGCAGTATCTACATCATGCATGCTGAAAGCTACAGTAACTGAAGGATCATGTAATAGCTTTTCTCGAAAATCGAAAACTACAAAACGAATAGCTAGACAAGCACAATTAAAAAGGTACATGACACGAATCAAGTGTTAATGTGGCGCAAATTAACTTTATGACTTCATAGGTTGCGCATGGCTCAAGAAATTCAAAGGAAACTAGAAGAAACGGAAGTTAAACAAAGAGAATTAGAAAGTAGAGGGGTCAGTGTTGAGAAAGCTTTGCGCGGGGAAGGAGGTAAAATCGAACATTCTATAATTAACAACTGATTTTAATCCAGATATTAAAACAGTGTATGTTTTAATCAGAATGTTCTGACCGAGAAGAAGCGGATTTACTCAGAGAATGGTTTGATCTTATGAAAGACCGCACTGAATTGCGTAGATATGAGAAAGAACTTTTAGTACGAGCTCAGGAGGTTCAACTTGAAGATCGTCATGATAGATTACAACAAGAATTAAGGGAACGTTTAGCTGATGATGGTTAATATTTTTTCATTTTAATTTTATAAGTATAAACACACTAAATCTGAAACAATATTTTATATATATATTTAAATGTTTCAAAATTCTACAGATAACAAGAAAACAAGGGATGATGTGAAAAAAGAAGGAGAAATTTTGACAGAAATGTTGGAAATAGTCGCGAAGAGGGATTCGCTCATCGCCCTTTTAGAGGAAGAGCGACAAAGGTGGTGTAAACCTACATGCCAAACACTGATTCCCTTTCCTACACATACAGTTGTCTGTTCCTCGCACGTACCTAATGTCTTCTCATATGAATCAAACAATGTATCTTCTGTGCTTACATTACTAGTCATCTTATTTGCATACGGGCTGTTCACTAATTTAATAGAGTTATATATTAACCTTTACACAGAGCCATTCACGTTTTTCAAGTCCTGATGCTTTGTTGAAATACACTAATTAATTATGTAGATTTCTTAATTTGCATTTTCATTTTATAAATGCAAAAATACTTTTTCTAATCAATTTTGAACATAATTATATTATAGAATTTTTAATTCTAAAGTCAATTTTTACTATGGTGCAATATAATTTTTATGTACTTTTTAATATAGCAAATGTTTATTCTATTGAAATCAATCCTAATCCAGACTGGAAGACAGTTGTTAGTAGACAATCTGCAAATCACGAAAGACAAAACAGAAATTTTAAAACAGCCCATGGATAAATTTTTGGTCCGTATCTTTGCATTAAAATTGTAATAAACAAAAATAAACGAACCTAAAATTTATGTAAAAACTATTTTAAGACTTGTGTTTTATCTCTCGTGATTTACAAATTGTTCGCAAGCACATGGTCGCGGACGATTGTCTCTCAGTCTAAACTAGGATTTTTGAATGAAATCATGTTATTTATACAGTCCTTTTCATTTACTAGCTACTCTTAAGTTTATTATGTGTGACATATAAGCATGAGATTTTTTTATATATATCTTTTACATGAATTTAAAGCATGATACAATTATGCATGAAACTCCTTTATACACTACATTTTTGTTATTTCCTCTTACAAGTGTTTTAGTTCTGCATTGTGATAAAGTGATATATTTATTTACATGACTGTATTTCAGTGGCAATGTAAAAATAATAATATTTTAGCTGTACTAAAAACTGTTTTTAGTTATATGCAGGCTTAAAAACATAACTTCATTAGAATTATATTGATGTAATTATTGTTAAATTTTTAATTATCCTTTAAAGTGCACTTTAAAAGGAATAAAATATATTATTATATGTGTTTATGGTAATTATTCCCAAAAAA